TGACAATTTGGAGTTTGTTTTGATGATCATTGGTTTGATTTAATTACGCTGTATTAGTTAGACCATTTTGTCATTCTTTCTACATTTTTCAAAAAAGAATGACATAATATATATATTCTATGTTTTTTTGACTTGTTCTTTGAATAAAGAATAATGAAGTTTTTATTTATCATTACTATTTATTTCATTCTATAAATTAAAATTTTGTTTCTCAGGAACAATCATATTAATTGGAAAGATTGAAGGAATTTTTTGATTGGTAAGTTGAGAAACATGTACATGTGGCCTGTGGCCTAATTCATAATTGGAATTGGAATTGGAATTGGAATTGGAATTGGAATTGGAATGATTATAATGTGAACAAGTGTAAGTTAAAAAGAAACTAAAGAATTAATTACAAGATAATTAAGCTCCTTGATTATTGGTTACTGAAGTCAAGTCAACAAGGATCTATATATTACTTTTTCTTTTTCTTTTTCAACATTAAGTAATTTTCCAAAAACCTTAAACATCAAAATGTGTTGTCATTTAAAATTTAAATAAAAAATAGCAAGTTTTCATCTATATAACTTAGGGGTTGTTTGTTTACCCCTTAATAAGTTCTATTAGAAGACAACCTCTGAATCGCTAGGTGAATCTTGTTTGACAAAATAAAAAAAGTCTGTCTCTTATTGATTCTGAAACCCTCTTAATAATTTTGTATCTTGGGTCTACTCTAACCATTCAACACCCTAATTTCATTCTAAATAATTATCAAACAATTATATTCATTTTGCACTATATTGTAAGAGTCTCTTAATCATTCTGACCACTTAATCATTCTGCATCAAACCATTCAGCAACTACTAAACATCCTCTTAAAGTTCACATAAAACAATACCAACATATATCAATAAAAAAAAGATACCGTTATGTTGGTACTGAATACAATTAATTGGTACACAATATAAGATTTTGTGTGCATCGAATTTTAAAATTGTCATGGATGTATGTGTTGGCGTAAAATTGAAATTTGAATAACAAAAAGTATGGACGACAAGGATGGTGGTGGTAATCGGTAAATTGTATACGTTTGACTTAAAAAATCTGTAACTAAAATTTTAGAACAAATCATGACAGTGGTTGGTAGGTTGTGGTGGTACAACAGTAGGGATGGAGGTTATGTTTATGGACGGACTCAAAGGGTGGTTGTGGTGGCACGTGTCGTCATATTGTTCCCTCGTCATAAGCTAAAAAAAATTAGGTTCGTGAATTGTGTCATTGTATTGTTTTATAAGATGCAACCGTTCTAAATGATGCCGCCTATGAAAAAAAAAATCCTTGGATCCATACTTGGTTATGTTGTATTATGTGTTTGGCCTATTTTGCATGTTTGGTGTTGTAATATATATGTATTTCAAGTCCTTTGGTTCATAAACATACAAAAGTTTACTATAATTCTTTTATATAAAAAACCAATGATCTAAAGGATTAATTGTAACGGCCGTTATGGCATGTTGTGACTCAAGATCTGTGCTTGACGCTATGTTAAACCTGTGACACGACAATTGCCATGATCTGATGCACAGTTTTTCTAGCAAGATATTTGATTTTCCTTACATTTTTAAGGTCTTGTTAGTTTTTCCCTACAATATCATCAACGCAGTAGAGTTTAATCATCAAGTTTGGGAATCGGGATGGAACATATTTAATCTAATTTAAGTTATTTAATACCATCGAATCATTGAGTAAATAATCTATACTATATTATAAATCATTTGACAAAAACTCTTAAAAATCATTTTTTATGCACGAAGTACTGTTTATTGATGCATATTACTTAAAATTTATGATTACAAGTAAGTTGTACATAAGTACAACTTATTAAAGCTTCATATTCGAATTCGTGTAACTAACTGCTGATAAACATAATCAAATGTTGGATAAACATTTCATTTTAAATATAAAAAATATAAATTATAATTAAAATAATCATTGAGTTCTAACAGAATAATTTAGTTATTATCTTTATAAAAAATTATATTACTAAACCTAAATTCAATTATAATTAAAAAATTGAATTAAGAAAATTACAATAAAACACAAGAACTTAAAAAAAGGTTAATTTGATACTGATATCAGTGTATTTTTTTTCAAAATTTTATAATACTTTCAAATTTTATATTTTATTCAAAAATAAAAACATTATCATTTTCTCAAAATCACATAAAACAGTGTTATATCGACATAAAAAAAGAAATAAAACAAAATACTGAAATCAAGATGTATCTTGATGCATTACAGAAATACCCTTCTAGTATATAAAATAGTATAGATTAATTACAGAGTAATTTATTTTTGATTTAATAATATATAAAAAAATTATAAGGGTAATAATTAAGTATTCTGTTAGAACTCAGTGATTATCCTAATTATATTTTAGTTTTTTTTTTTTTTATATTTAAAATGAAGTGTTTATCTTGTATTTGACTATTATTATCTGTAGTTAGTTACACAAATTCAAACATGAAGTTTTAATAAGTTGTACTTACGTACAGTTTGTTTGTAACCTTGAATTTTAAGTAATATGCATCAATAAACAGTACTTTTTATACATAAAAAATGGTTTTCAAGAGTTTTTATCAAATGTTTTATAATATAAAAATTTGCTACCATAAATTACACCTTTAAAAAACATCATGACTTCATTGAAATCTCTAAAACTTAAAGTTTGACATCATCATGACACCATGTCTCATGTTACTTAATACGTTGTAAAAAACAAATAGAATAATAATCTTAAGGCCTTGAAACTAGATGTATGATTGACTTTTTGAAACGCAGTGATTTTGACCAAATCAAGCCGATTGTGACTATCCTTTCCTTTCCTTGTTCCTTGATAACGTAAAAATTCCCCAATTTTCTAATAGACTTAATTAAGAGGGATGTTTATCGGGTAAATGTTTAATGGATCATTTTATTTTCTTTTATTACATGTTCAAGACGAAAGATTGAGAATCTTACTCACTTAGAGTCATCATAAGGATCGAAAGTCTTATCTAGTAAATGAGAGTAACGATTCTTAATTACCCGCTAAACGCTTATTGAATAAATTGTTACATACGATATTGTTTTAATGTACTAAAAATCTAACCCGACAATTTAAGTGAAATGAGGTACTCTTAACGGTAACCGCTTACCAGATAAACGTTGGGTAAGTAACCCCTTAATTAATTTAACAAGTCATAAATTACTAGTTACAATATGAATGTCTAATACATGTGTAACCAAACATTGTGGCTTCTTAAACTAATTAATCATGCTCTTATTTCAAGCCATATGAAATTTAATAACATAACTTAGACGGTTTTTAGTAGATATCAATAAACTTTTATTTAATGCCTCCCTTAATTTCTCCATTGATTGATCATTCTCATGGTATTGTGAGACCTAAAAGAAATCCAAAACCATTGGTTAAACATGGTAACATTAACATATATAGGATAAAGACTTGTCATTTTGATTGTGATTCTAAACATTTCAACAATATGTGACAATTAAGACAATGTTTGGTTATTTTACATTGTCATCTAACTTATCAACTAGTTCTTTTATAATTTATCAACTAGCATCTAAGTTATGAGTCAGTTTGCTAATGATAACCCAAGTATATATATAGAGAGGAGGGAGAGGGATTTAGTTACTTCCACATTTGAAGTGATGAGGGAGTCTGCGTCCACAACCTCGGATGAGTTTAACGAAACGATTGACGTCAATGAGAGCAACCAACTTGGGGGTGATGACAGGACATATATATGCACTTAACATGGACCCGTTGACAACAGTAGGAGGATGGAGGTTTGCCATACATAACGTTTTTACAAGCGTTGATAGCAACCCTCCTCTCGGTTTTACAGCGGAAAGGAGTTGGTGCACCTGCACTACTACTTGACATAAGGAAGATGCAAATTAGAGTGATGAAAATGCAATTACTTTTTATTTTTCGAAAATGAATAATTTAAGTCTGAAATTAAAGAATTATATTTATAGTGGCAGGAGCAGGAGCAGGAGTAGGAGTAGGGGGCTGGGTAATGCGTTGGACCATCGCAATTCAAAATTGGCAATGGAAAGTCAATGGTCAAAATTAAGTTTACTTACCTTCATTCCTATTCCTACCACAATTATCATTCATGTTCTGACTTGACTAATAACTAATAACTAATAACTAATTCATTCATTTCATATATAATATTTAATTGAAATAATTATTTTATATCTATTAATTATTTTATTTTATAGAGATAGAGATAGGGATAGGGATTGAGATAACACTACAGATGTGGACCAACAAGATAGCCTCATTTATGTCATTCTTATTATTACGTGTATCTCCTACAATTATTTTAAAATAGAGATTTTAAAGCCTCAAAACCTTGTTTATAATAGAAAATTAAAGATAGGAGAGACATAGAAAATGAAATTCTTAAAAATAATTGATTAGAAATAGAAATGATGTTTTTATTTTCCAACTTTTGAAATTAAACATTTATATGATATTTTATCATTTTTTATATATAAATGAAATGAAATGAAATGAAATGAAATGTTTTAATAATATAAATTTATTCAAAATATAATAAGTAAGTAGTACGTGGATATTATTATTGGTTGCGTTGGATTTTAATTACCATTTGGTGATGGGGTTGAGTTGGAGGGTACATTCATCCAAACTAATTCTATTATTCACATGTCAATGTCCAAAAATATCTCCCTATTTAAATTCACATCTTTTTTAATCTCTTATTTTATTCTTACTTACTTTTTAATATATAACTTAATTTAAATTATTTATCATTATTCGATAATAATAATAAAATATAGTAGAGATTTGTGGTCATTTTTTGAAAAACTTCATATGTATTAATTAGTATTTTTAAGATAATGATCCAACAAATAACATTGGCTAAAAACTAAGGCAAGTAATATGTATGTATGTCTATAACATATATAGCTTCTAATTTGCACACTATTTTTAATTTATCAATTTCATAACTTATCCACTCCAATCCATTACATCAAATATCTTATGCCAAACTTAATCTACACAAACAACCAAACTTTGATACTATTTCTCAAACTTGGCCTCCACCCTATTCGATCTCCTCTTCCAAATCAATCTCGTCATCATCCGGATCCAATGATCCGCTGCCAATCACACTCTGTCCATTCGTGTTCAATCCTTCCCCGGGAGTCTTGGCCTCTTCAATAATCCGATTGATCTCATCAACGCTTTGAGGTGATTGATCACCGCTTGTGTTTTCATAGTTTGTTTTCTCCCCTTCAACCAGATCCTTTGGCATGTTCTTTAGAAACCATGGATGTTTCTTGATTTCTGCTATGCTCATCCTCTTTTTAAGGATAATCCAACTACTTTAGTTTCATGTTTTTTTCCTTTTTATGTAAGAAAGGTGGCATTTTTAAGAAGAAACGGTACCTTAGATGGGTTAGCAACAAAGATATGAGAAAGGAGGTGTCTACAATCAGCAGAAACACGCACATAATCAGGTATCGAGTATTGAACGCTCATGATTCTCTGCATGTGATAACAACCATCCAATCCATGATCACTCTTTGAGGTCAAACAAACTCCTTTCCAACTTCAAATTAATTCTTCAAAAATTTCAAGAATTTTTTTATGTCTATGTTCAACTTGAATGCAAAATATCACAAATTAAGCAATATCGGTGCTCGTTATGCAATCAAATCCATTTCAATTCGGAATCTTGAAATTGCTAGTTTGGTTATAAAAGTCAAACTATTGGTTATGTTAGTGTCATCAACCATTTGGTGTAGTTGTGATTTACTTGAGATCGAGTAAGATGATGAGGCAAACATAAGTGAACAAGGGAGTGTTGAGTGCACACTCACAAATGTTGTCCCTATCACTTCGGATTGCCATAACGTGGGGGTCAAGGGGGCAGCGCCCCAAGCGGAGTTCAAGGCAGTGCCCCGAGGTTTTTGGAATTTATGAAGAGTTGAACTTAGTGAAAATCTTGCTAAGTATAAGTCTAGACTAGGGTAAGAAGTGATATGATCATCCAGATCAAAGGTCTAAAATCAAACTGTGTTCAACTCTGGACGTGCTCCTCACACTAAGTCTTGAATATGAACTAATGGGTTCAGAGATCCGGATATGTTTCTTCAGACTTGTTCCAGACTTACTGGACTAACGAAGTCAAACTTAGACTCAAACTTTGATTCGGTTATAACTGCTCTTCGATCTTATCCTTTAATGGTTACTACCATTTAACCACTGTAACTGTCGATCTCTCTTATAATACATAATTCGGGATCTGAGTGCATATATAATATATATATATATATATATATTATATATGAAATCAGTGTCTTATTTCGTGTATGTTTTTTTTTCTAAATTATCCCGGTACTAATTTCGTATAAACCTAAGACATAATAGAGGTGGAATACAGTATTTGGAAATTGATTTCCAAACACGCTCTAGAAAAATATCCAAGTTATACTCGACCACAGAAGCCAATTCCCCAACACAAAGTGTATCTTACCCCAATCGTCTTACGGAAATTTCGAGGGTCTCTGGGATCTTCAAAAGGGTATGCTCCAACAAGCATAACATAAAGAGTCACTCCACAGGACCAAACATCTGCAATCTAACACAAAACGAAGCATCAGACAAACCGTGTAGTATTTTATTATAAAAGAACCAAACGCGATATGAAGTACCTTGCCATCATATTCTTTACGAGATAGAACCTCAGGGGCAATGTATGCTGGTGTTCCAACTGTCGACTTGGGTTGCGAGTGCAATAGACCAGACTGACAAGAAATGGTACAATCAAGAATCAAAATCTTTAAATCCAAAGATAACATCGACCGGATGAAAAAAAGGTAACTTCTAACCTTTGAATAGCCAAAATCGCAAATCTTGAGACGTGGGGTTCGACTACCATCTAAGAGAGTGTTCTCAAGTTTAAGATCTCTGTGACAAATTTCCTGAAGTTGGAAAGAAACGATGATTTATGAGTATGAAAAGAGAAACGATGCGAAAAGCTCAAAAAAGAAACAATCTTTACCATTGAATGACAGTAGCTGACTCCAGATATAAGCTGTTGGAAGAAGAACCGAGCCTGCTTATAGAAAGATCGTATTCAAGTGTTAGTTTATGGGTAGGGGGTTCGAAAGAGAAAGTGAGTGAAGTTTATGGACCTCGTCTTCGCTGAATCTTCCGGCGCTGCAAATCTTGACAAACAGTTCACCGCCAGCTGCGTATTCCATGACTATAGCTAAATGTGTTGGAGTTAACAACACCTCCTTGAACCTAATGATGTTTGGATGCCTAAGTGATCTGTGATTGATGATTTCCCTTTGAACATTTTCATCAATCTGAAACGATAACACGAAGTCGTCTATTGATAGGAACTTTAAGAGCATGAAAACAAATTTAGGGGTTGTATGGTTAGATAAAGTTGTGCAAGTGTGGATGAATCATGAATGTGTGTGTGTGTGTTGATTGATTGAATCTAGAAATTAAGACACATGAAAGAAGCTATTAATTTTATTTGAATGATATGATGTTAATCTAATCAAATTAATGAATTGGGTGTAAGAAATATAATGATATATACTATACCTTTGTTCCTCTTTCAATGTATTTGACTGCAAGCAACTCCTTAGTCTTCTTATCTCTAACCAGCCTTGCCACTCCAAAGTTCCCAGAACCAAGCTCTTTCAATGGCTCATATTTCTCCTCCATTTGAAGAAACAAGCAAAGCAAAGCAAAGCAAAGCAAATCAAAAGAAAAGAGGGAGTCGTCGTCGAAGAGGGTTTTGGCAAAATTGAAGGATATTTAAAGGGAAAGATGTGATATTTATGGAAAAAAAGATCTTCAAGTGGAGATGAAATGGAGAAGAGACACGTATGAATAGGAACAAGAATTAATGGGTGGGTGTTCATTGCCTTCAAGTAGAAGGCGCTGGCAAGTCAAGTCAAGAGTGTGTAGATTTGTGACACTTGGAACTGAAGATGGCCACCTAATCCTAAATTTTGAATAACTAGTGTAAGGAGGGAATGTAAAATGGGCCCATCTTCTTCATTACATATTTCTTTCTCTAATCATTTTCATGTTTTTCCTTTGTTTTTATATTATTTGAATAGGATTGGATCAAGATAACTTGCGATGCTAAATTATTTGATGTCTACGAAACACAAAAAAGAAAAATCTTATTCCATTTCGTTTTTTCATATTGTTTTGTATTAAAATCAAAGTGATTGATATGTTTTTTATAGGTTAAACAAAACACCAACCAAAGCTTCCTACAACAAGAAGGATGAAACTAGGCAATGTCCACCGCACCAAATGGTTAATTAAATGCCCTTCAGAATCCACAGAGGAAGGTTTCACCATGTGCAGCAAGCCCAACAAACTAACTGGGCTTGGGATCTAAAAGTAAAGGTTGACATGACATTTACGCAAACATCATGATCTGATCTCTAGCAGAAAACAAAGTTTGGCCAAAAAGTCTCAACAATTCCGATAAGAGAAAAGGAATAGAAAAATGAAACATTAATAAAGCAAAACACGGAAATGCAATAAAGACTAAGGTCAGATAAAAGTAAACAACAACACTACATAATTAAAAGCAGATGTAGTGAATGATGAAACATCCCTTAAACACACACTACACTAGATCGGTTACGGATAGAATCATAGAATACATGCATTCGAAAATGAACATCTTTTTCAGTTGTTTCTAATGGTTCTATTTCTTTACCTTTTATTAAGCAGAAATCAAATTTGGCCATTCATAAGACCTCCTGATCATTAACCAACACAAGGTTTCCCGTTCTTTCACCAATCTCCAGACACAGAGAGAGGGTGCATAATAACAATGCCAACAATCCAAACTAATATATTTGATCAGCAAACGAATTTAAACTGTTGCAGCAGGTCTGAAAGAATATTAAACTTCAACCTCAAGGTGTAGAAAGATAAGTCAATTAAGTAGTTCAAAGTTAGGTGCTAGAATCATGGAAAGATAGTTAGCTACTAGTTAGTTCCCGAAGGTTGTTGTTGCAAAGATTCCCAGGAGTTTGATCATGTTGTCGCAACGATAGAAGAATCTAAACATCTATCTACCAGCTTAGTTGATAGACTCGTACAAATACACGAGGCTAGAATAAACAGAAACGTTGCCAAAGAAAAGCAGGCTTTCCAAGATGGAGAGCAAGAAAGTAAGCACAACATCTACACAAGTGTGGTTTGCAAGAATGAGCACCGTTGAGTATACCAGTTGCAAGAAATATGGTCACAAATAAGAGGATTGTTGGTTCAGGGATGGGATAAGTTCTGGATTCTGGTTTTTCTGTCAATTTTTAGAATAATGCATGTATTGTTAAGAAAAAGGACAGGCGAATTGTTGTTAAAATCAACCATGACGCTAGCCGCAAATATTTAATGTTTATGTGATAATGAGTTGCAGACAAGAGAATACTAATGTATGACATCAACAATATGGCCATTTGTATATTGAAGGGCAGCAATTACTTGCCAACAAGGAGATGGTAAAAGGGATATGGGTCGTCAAGGAACTAGATTATACATGTGAAGGTTGGGCCTTAGGAAGCAGACAAGAAGTTCATTTCCGCTGGAACAAGCAAACAAGGACGACGAAAGACTAGAATTGCTCCATGGTGATATATGTGGTCCACGAAAACTGAATCTTTTGCAGGGAGTAACTACTCCTTGCTCTCATATACAAGTCAGAAGCTTTTGAGTTTTTCGAGAAATTTAAAGCCCTCAAGACAACCAATGTAATAGAAAACTGAAAGTACTGAGGATAGAGGGAGGAGACGAGTTTCTTTAGGAGGAGTTCAGTAGGTTCCGTGATGAGCATGAAATCAAGAGAGAAATTACAGCCCCTATACCCGATAACAGAATGCAAGGATGGAACTATTGTTGAGATGGCAAGATCTATGCTCAAAACCAAGAACCTGGAAGACGAGTTATGAGCCGAAACAGTAAAAACAGTTGTGTATCTGATCAACTTATCTCCCACGAGATCAGTTTGGAATATCACTCCCTATGAAGTTTGGTATAAGTCCAAACCCTCTATTAGCCGTTTACATATAATTGGATGCATATGTAATATGTTATGCTTTGGTTCCATCTGGTAGAGGCAAGTTAGATCAAAAGACGAAAAAGATTACATATTTCCAAGGCATAAAGATTATTTGATCTGGATAAAAAAATCTTTTGTTGTCAATAGAGATGGGGTTCAATGAACAGGAAGTTGAGGCAGAACACCTGCAACTCAACCATGATTAGGGAAGTGCAAGAAGACCTCATGAAGAACAACCGGTTAACACCAAAAGTGGCATTTCATAACCGATTAAGAATCACCAACCAGCACTCAAGTAATTAAGAATCTTGAAATGAAGAAAGTAAGATGATTAGCAGGTGGAAGTTGGAGAAGGCGGAGTAGCAAGATCGGTGATCCCTTCTAACATCAACAACACACACTTGATAGAGGGACGACGAGCAGGTTCATCCTGGATGCACCAAAGTCCCACTTTAACCAGCCTCTCTAACGTCTCCTTATCCACTTGTTCATCATGACCAACAAGCACATCCAGTTGTCCTCTTTCAAAGCATTTGTAAACCCAACTAGACTGAACAATCTCTTCCACATTGGATACTTGTGTTTCCAAGTTCCTTCTGCAACATAACAACACGATTCCATAGCTGAAAATATCAACCTTCACCGATATGGGACTGTTTTTGTTTGAATTTCCTTGTATGATTTAAGAGATTTTTTATTTTTATTTTTAGGTTTATTTCAAAATACTTTTTTGATTGATAGGGAAATTACAGGAGTGACTATGGCAAAAAGTTAAAAAAAATTCCCACCTTTAATTTATTGCATCCACTTGTGTCGATGACATAAAAAAAAGGATGAAAATATCAAATCATAAAAAAAAAAAATTACATTATAATAGAACCATGTTTTAGACCGATTATTTTTGGGACGTAAACGTTGTATCTTTTTCGAAGCCAAACATTGTAAATAGTTTGGGGTCCAAATTTTTATTTAGGGGCACTAACCCCATTCCACTTATGAGTATCTAGGCTTAAAGATCATATCATCATAGAGAGGTTGAGAATGATGAAAATATTACGCACCATGTAAAGGGGAGGATGGTTAAAGCATAAAGCGGATACGGGAGTTTTCTGTGTGATAAAAGGGTGCCACTATAGGATAGATCATAAGACCATCTCCGGAGTTTTGGGCAAGAAAGATGGTGTGAAATATATAAATTGGAAGTTGTGACAATTAGGATGTCGAGATATATAGACGTGTGGTCGGACCTGCTAAGATAGGATCTCGAACAATTTTCAGGTCGGGACTAAGGGTTGCGCTTATCAAAGATGAACCAAGAGTGGGTAGATCGAGGTGGTTTGGGCATGTTCGTAGAAGACAATTGACAACACCATTGGAAAGAGTAAAACGTGTGATGAGTGAGGGGTGAGTAAGAGGGATGAGCCTTGGACAATGTGGGTTGAGCAGTTGAGGATGAACATAACAGTTTTATCATTTATGAGAAAATGACCTCTAATAGGCTTATGACCAATTTTTAGTAGGATCGGGTAGTGGCTAACGTCAAGGTTCTTAAGAGACGGGTAGAGAGTGGGCAAATAAGCTACTCGCACTTAATATGAGTTTCTTGCTCGTCTTTCTTGTTGGTCTTACTTATATGTTTGATTTGTTATGTATATTCACTTTCTACTTGTTTTGCATGTTTTATTCAATTACATTGTCTATTTGCCGTCCATTGGATCACTATCTTACATGTTATATTATCCATCTTCCCGTTTGTTTATACAAACCTTAGTTGTATGTACAAATCGGGGCGGGGTGGGGTGGGGTGGGGGCTCACGACATATCGTTTTGATCCTAGCCCTTCAAAACCCCTTCTTCAAATTGAATCATTATCCAACTTTAATTAACACGAACTTTTATCGTGTTGATTTTGGACTAGGGTTATTTTTATTTCTTTTTTGCATTTTTCTGTTAAATTAACAAAGGTTTTATAAACATTGGTTTTGGGATTATGATCATGCTAGTAATTTGGTGGGTTCATTGAATTCTTCATGTATGCTACATCTTCGGTTTCGTGTAGCTACTTTTGTTTGATTATTAACACCAGCAGGTAGCAGCCCTTTTTTGATCATATCATAGCAACAATATCAAGAAGCATTCAACATCAACCTTTTGTTTTGATCATTAACAGTCATCAGTTGCTCCAACCGATGAGCACCCACCTATTGTGGTCACAAACCATCATCAATAGCCGCCTTAATGGTCAATCCTACAAGCACCCCGAGAAGGAACATGATGAAAATGTCAAAAAAGTTGTGAAGAAAGGAAGTCGTGTTGCATGTAGGTAGTTTGAAGTATATACACTTTTCATAACATTCTTGATATAGTGCAAAGAGAGGATGATTACAAAATGTGGATTTGTTTTGAGTATATTATTTTTTTACTACAAATTTTTTAATTTAATTGAAAATCTATGGTAAGGGAAATAATTTTGGTATTTTCTATTTTTAAATATGGTATATTATTTTTATTTATAAGAAAAATTGTATATTTTCATTTTTCTTTGTTTTTAAATATAATGTGAAATCTCCATTGTTATTTATAGAGAAAATATGTGGATGTCATCAGGTAACCATGACCCTCTTATAAATTTGTTCCTTGCCCTAAAATAAAGATGATGTTAAAATATGAATTAACTTAAAATGCATTTTTTTTCTTTAAATAAACTATGTTTCATCATAAATAATTCGTGAATGTTCACGTTAGCTATTCATGATGAATTTGGACAACGAGGAACTTGTGTTGCACTCTCATTTGTACCCTGGTTCATAACATAAAAAATGTTTGCAATTGAGTTCTCGCCCCTCCCTTTCTCTGTATATATTATAATTTTCGAATAAATATATGAATAGATCGATATACCAAGTATCTACCATACTTGACCTAAAAATACATATACACATTTTTTAAAACAATGGTCACAATATTTTGGATCCGATATCTTTGATCTTTCGGTACATTTAAATATGAACTCAAAAGCAAAGAAAATTACATATATAATACAATATTACTTTTTTCAATGACAGTTTTTGGAAGATTAACATTACAATACAATAAAAGATGGGTACACTTGATTAAAAAATAAGCATGCCATGTCATCATGCTAATGACTTGTTGTTTCAAATTCAATTGTGGCAAGAATTTTTAAATCTTAAATTCATAATAATTCAATAAAATAATATTGTTATCTTTTATGGAATAAAATATATACGAGAGTAATAACATATATCAATTTGGTTTTTATCGATGTTTTAACAAATAATTATTGGTTATCATGGTCCTTACATTTGAATTATAATCTTGATAAACCCAATTTAAAATCATAAGTTTGGTTTAGTTTTTATTTAGTATAACAAATATATATCTTTTTCAATCGATATAATAAGCTTTCAACGTTTCTTATTTTACATATTAAATTAGTTTTTAGATTACGTGAACCGTAATTCTAAAACTAAAAGTCATGAGTTAGTTTCACAATGCATGTCAAATTATTGGTTACAAAATAGAGAAAGTTGAATATTTGTTATATTGATTGATAGATATGAGATTCCATGTCGGTTTGGCAAGAAAACAAAAGTTGTCTTTACCATGTCCATTTCGAAACCATGAGTCTATATATGTTTGGATAAAGCAACAATATATGGTGCAATTGGTTTGTGATATTACAAACAATATCAGAGCTTCAACGAGGATGTTATAAGGAATTGAATACCATGAGCTTAGGCATGCATAAAGCGAACAATATATGATACTATTGGTCTGAGATGGTATAATAGACACACAAAAAAATGCATTACAATTTACACATAAATAGGGAATAAACCAACTTTTGTTACATTTTGCCATAAATTTAATTAATAAACACAATAGTAGTTTAATTGAAATATTGCCGTCTTTAGCAAAAACGAATAAAACACGTGTTGATATGTGGTAACTCCTTTATGTTTTATTGACTTGGCGGATGATCCACAATTGCTTTTATAGGCTGATCGATTTCCCACAAACCAAAACCATTTTATTTGTATACCATCCGACAAATCTCAATCTTTCTTTTGAGAAATGTTTTTATCGGTTCTAAAATAAAACACAAGAATATCTTTAAATCATTCTTGCATGACAGTTAATGTATAATAAATCATTGTTTCATATAAATTTAAAAAATTATAATAAAGAAAACAAGAATAGCTCTAATTGTATATCTATCCTACATTGACAATACATTTTTTTTAAATATATATATATATATATATATATATATAGAGAGAGAGAGAGAGAGAGAATATATATATATATGAGGGTTGTGAAAATGTGTTGATCACAAATATTAAAGATGCATAAAATAAAATGGGTGGTTTAAGGGAAACATCATCGAGTCCCCACTCACAAAAAATTGAAGATTCTTAATTGTTTTTCTATCCTTATTTTTCATGTCAATTTTGTAATTTACAAGTTGAATGGGGCAAATATTTGTAATTGTGATAGAGGGTCATTGCGTGTTTTTCAAAATGATTTAAACACATATACTAATAAAATTTATAAAAACAAATGCGAAATAATCTCTCACGTAACATAACAATATACAAAACACGACCACCACCAATACAAATGTTTTTTGTAATTTACTCTACAATATTTCACCACTTTAAAATACATAATAAAAACAATAAAAGTTATTTAAATACAAGATGTTGGATTTATACAAAAAATTAACAATCATATATTTTTATTTATAGAAACATATTAAAGTAAATATTACTTTTGATTTAATGCGATGTATTTTTGAAGAAAAATATAATAAGCTAAGCCTTGGACATTTACGTCAAATTCAATTGTTTGGATGATCGATCGAACAAGGAATATTCCAATTCCAAGCAAAGACACCTCATAAACACTTTTCCACACCCTCACGTGACCCTCCCTTTCATACCTCCTCCCTCCCTCCCTCTTAATTATTATCCATATAAATTGCAAATCGTGGCTCCTCTTTCATTCTCTCTCTCCCTCCCCCCTTGGACAAGCTGCGAAAATTTCTCAAATCTTTGCTCCATCAACCCTCTAGATTCGAGCATAATCAACACACACTTTATCTACTGATTAACCCCTGAAAAACTGCCCTGAATCTGCAAAACTCGTCTATCTACGACGGCCTCGATGTCGCCGGTATGTAATCTCTCTATTCTACTTTACTATTAGAATACGGTTTATTTATTCAGGTTTGTGTGGGGAATCGCAGTCAATTTTTGATTTGTAAGAGACTTTAATCGTCAAGGGGGCAGGTAGGGAAAGCAAAATTGGTTTTTTTTTTCAACTTGATTTGTCTTCTGTTTTTGTTTTTATCATTATTTTATGGATTTTTTTATTGTTTGTTTCTTTGAATTGTTTTTCGTTTTCTGGAATTTTGTGTTTAGGTAAAAAAGCTTGGAGTAGAAACTGTTCGAGGGTTTTGGATCTGGGGATTTGTTTGCTTGATGTATACCAACTATACAAGTACATAAATTGTTGAAAGTTAAAAGAGTTTAACTTTGTATGCTTTATGTTATTGTATAGCATTCGAAAAGATGATAAAAGGGCAAGTGTGGGTTCAATTTCAATTTTATATTAATTGTTTTGAATTGGGGATCGAGATAGCTCTTTTAGTATTAGAGGGAATATTCTAAACCAGTCGTTACATCGCACTACTGCTAACAAAATGGTAATTAGAGTTCAGTGTATTAACAACTTAGAAATTGGTTCAATTGATCACAAAAGCTAATTCCTTACTCTCTGCCTGTGGGTGGAGAATATGGGGAAAGAGATGGGAAGGATATTAGGGTTTTGCAGTTAACCTATGTAGATACTTGAATTAGTAAAAATAGGCATATTGTTTAATCATAGAATTCCAGGAATAAAATACTAGTGTATGATATTTTTACAAGGACAACTAGGTTATCATGTCATTTCTTTTTTCCTTTTCTAGTATTTCTTTAGGTTTTTGTGTTGATCTTCTACATATTTAGCTCCCATTGTGTTGATTTCGTGCTTGAGATGTCTTTCCTTACACTTTATGGCATACGAAACATGCCAATTTTACTGGAACGTTAAGCTCTTCAGTCTTTAGTGTTGGTGGAACGTTGTTCAATGTTTCTCATGTGTTCACTTCAATCTTCGTTGATCGGCTGTATTAATCTTTATTCACTGATGCTCGTAAGATGCTTCAAGTTTTTTGTAAGAAACGTTTGCACCACTTCGGTTTTCAAACTCTCTATTTCTTCTGATTGTGAAGCTTGTAACATTTTTCGTTTTCGTATATATCGTTAACTTACTAATTTTGGGTTTACAATTGTGGCACTCAAGGTTGAGATGGTTCTGATCATTTGTAGCGGCAAAGCATTGCAATGCTTCTAGTCCTGTAGTGCCCTAGTTGTTTTAATGGGCTGCTTTAATTCTACAGTGAGAAAACCAGTTCCCGGGCACGAGAACCCAACTATTCTTGCTTCTCAAACGGCTTGTAAGTTGATAATTGTTTCATAAATCATGTTTATCTTTATTGCAAAATAGTATCCACCTTGATTGGTACATGTTGCTTATGTTAGCTCTCATAACTGTCTTTTGTCTTTCCAGTTAGTGTCAGTGAAGTTGAAGCTCTATTTGAGCTATTCAAGAGCATTAGCAGTTCTGTAATTGATGATGGATTAATTAACAAGGTAATTCATGTGTTGATTAATGTTATGTTATTCTCAACGTGTAAAAGAAATTCTAGGTTCAATTTCAATAGTTCAGTAATACTTTCTCCCTCTCAAGAATATTGTGACAAATTTTTTTAGGATGTCTCATGAAAATTAATACACTTTCTTTCCTGAAAAAACTTTCATGTTAAAGATCTATATGCCCATCGTTATCATTACAAAATACATTAACGATGCTACTGATTAGGGTCCACAAGGTTCCTTTTCGATGTTAGTAGAGGGTATTGTAGATATTTGGCAGACAATCAAACATTTTACTGACACTATGACTCAAGTCAATTATTAATTATTTTTCCTACCCTTCACTCCTATTCCTTCACTTGTCACTGGTTTTATTTTGTTACAATGAGATTCGAATTTTGATAATTTTATTGTCTTTCACGCATCACCATTAACAGGAAGAATTCCAACTAGCTTTGTTCAAGAACAGAAAGAAAGAGAATCTCTTTGCAAACAGGGTATGATGATTCTCCGTTTAATTTTCAGTTACGTAAAGGTCGTATATGGTTCTCCTATATCTGGTTGTTGTGATGATTTTGCATAATCTGAACTCTGAAGGAATGATTTGTGTTATATTACCTTCTCACTTTGCTGGTCCCTAACTTCATGCAGTTGATTTTGGCAACTTAAAGTAGGAGTTTATGCTATCGTCATAAACGGATTTTCATTTTATGTGACACTGTTCATCGGTTTGACTAGGATAATGATGCTACATTTATTCAAGATGTTAAGAAACTGCATGCACATATATTTAATTTGTCCTTCGTCCGGTAACTTCGTAATTTTTTCACGATGTTGTAATTTCCATTTTCACATCTTTTGAACATTTATTTCCTTGTTTCCATGCCATGTAACACCCCTCTATTTTGAGGAGTTTACTATGTGTGATTGCAAACATGGATGACAATGTTGAAGTAAGAACTGTATTAAAAGCTATATGGGACTTCTTCAGTGTGGTTACATCTGTAATGGATCGGTAAATAATCAAATGTGATTATATTCATAATGGATATGCTTGCATCTGTTACACACATGGATGTATCTGCTTGTTTTGTTACATGCATTTCATGTTGTGTAATATCTGGTGAGAAATAGGCGAAAGATGTATTAACATTTGTGATAAGGAACGTATTTAAGCAATGCATATAGTTTTTGTTGACTATTGAATTTGCACTGCAACAATTAATTGAGTATGCGTCCTTGCGTATTAACCATATGCTTTCTCATGAAAATATATAAATGCAAATGAATTTGAGATTGGATATTTTTGGGAACAGATAACACTACCATTATGCAAATGTGTTTATAGCAGATATGAATTCAGATGGCTATGCGGATCTTCTGATATCCATTCACAACCTTTAATGCAGTTCAAATTAGTTAAAACTACTTAACTTTTCTGTTCATTTGCTTATAACATTTATCCATTCTTCACTTTGTGGGATTCGTCTCCATTTCTTTTCATGGCAAGTACACATGATCCATAATTGCATACTCGTTTCTCCAATTCTCCTTGCACCATTTAAATCAAACCCAAAGAATGAAAATGGTAAATAACTAAAATGCCTTAACCTTTCCAGATATTCTTTTTCTGGTACATAATAATAATAATAACTAAAGACACCTGTCTTTTCCAGCTGTTCTTTGTTTGGAAATGATAGCAGCAAAATGCATTTTTCCTGGTAAACTATATGTATATGAAACATCACTTGCATGCATATCGTATTCAGAGTTCAGTATATCATATACATCTGATTAAAGAGACAACATCTTTTCATATTTGGTATACATTTTCTGAAGCTCTGAAAGTTTCCATATGCAGATATTTGATCTTTTCGATGTCAAGCAGAAGGGGGTTATTGATTTCGGTGACTTTGTTCGAGCACTTAACGTTTTTCACCCTAATGCCCCACAAGAAGACAAGATTAGTTGTAAGTTGATCACGATGAGCAGAAACTGTTAGATTTCCAAGTAGCCATGGATGATTTTGTAATACAAATCGTTCCTGTTTCAGTTTCTTTCAAACTTTATGACATGGATGGAACAGGATTCATAGAGCGTCAGGAGGTATGTTTGTGCTAGTTCTATGTTGCATTCCCAAGCTTTATAGATCCTTCTTTATATGCTAATTTTCTGTATGAAAATTGCAACCTTTGCATGAAGTATATAATAAGGATTCTATCAACGACCATGGATATAGGCAAATTAGTGAATGACGTAAAGGATGTGCCTGATTTTTTTTGTTTTCTACCACCATTATGCCTGCTACAGTTATGGCATGTGTGCATTTATAACAGCTTTGTTGTGTATGACTATTGTAGGTTAAGCAGATGTTAATAGCACTTTTATGCGAGTCTGAGCTGAAGTTGGCTGATGATACCATTGAGGTTATACTCGATAAGGTGTTTTTCTGTGACATTAATACTTGGACCAAAAGAAATTGCATTGAAAGAAAAAAGTAAAACCGTATTTGTTTGGTTGATGTGGAAAGTTATGTATATTTGTATTGATTGCGCAGACGTTTTCGGAAGCGGATGTGGACCAGGACGGGAAGATAGATAAATCAGAATGGCATAATTTCGTGACGCGAAACCCTTCTTTGCTAAAGATAATGACGCTTCCATACCTAAGGTATAAATATGTGGATGGGTTGGTTTGTTTGGTTTATTACGAAGAGTTATATGTATATAATACTAATGGGAAGTGATGTACAGGGACATTACAACGACGTTTCCGAGTTTTGTGTTCAATTCAGAAGTAGAAGAGATAGCGACATAAGAGAGAAGTTGAAAGGATAATGAAGTAATGTTTTGTGTCTTGTTCTTTATGAATTCAAGCAAGCATGGGTTGAAGAGTAGACATTTGTATTTTGTTAGCACAGTTTTTGGTTTGGGTTTCTTGAGGAGAAAAATGATTTGTTTTTTAATCGAATCGAATGGAATCGAATCATGATGAGGGTTGCAGAAGATGTATATTTGATTCTGTAAGTAACCAGTCCAAAGAGGAAGTTGAGAAAAATATATAATCATGTGGATGTATATTGGTATCAGAATGATGGGAGTTTTAGACCTCTAACACATGGTATCACGTAAGGGAGTAAAAATCATGATGTGACTTTGGCCATGCTCACATACGTTTGTGTTAAATCACATATAATCCTAAACATGGTTTTGTTGTTTATGTCTTTCTTTTTAATTATTTGGTTACTATTCACATTGAACCTCTCCACACACACTCACACTCTCTCTCTCTCTCTCTATATATATATATATATATGCAACTTTTCATATGGTCTTTAAAATATACAGTTCCTATAAGTCATCAACATTTTAGGAGTTTTTTTTGTACAAAAACAAACGATGGTTCTTACCTACCGTGATAATCAACGATGCACGTGATCTCATTGCACCAATTGGAAATTGCGAGAAAAGTGCCAACAATAAAGGTTGAAATGGTGGTGAATGATGATCGTCGATTCCAACATATTTTTGTTTGGTATAAACAAATCAAAGATAAAGAACATCACTTTCAAATATGATTATTGATTATTTATGAAAAGAATATAATAATTACAATGCTTAAAAGCCTGTGTGTCTTTTTATTTAATTGAATGTTTATTTTAGGAAATAAAATAATTTAGTTTGGTTAAAATATGTAATTTATTAAGTTATTTAAATAAAACACACGTATAATTTATAAAGTTAGTAATATATATAGAGGTATAATATTAAGAATATTCTAATTTTTGTAAAAAATAATATAATAAGTAGAAGAAAAATAATATAAAATATGATGTAATGAGTTGAAGATATAAAGTGTTACATTTATATAAAAAAATATATATATTTTTATTTAAATAAGACATTAATAAACAATCAATAATTAATGATATCACACAAAATCAACAAAAAAATGTTTTGTCTTATTTTGTTCACATCTTCTTCTTTGTTTACTTTCTATGGTATGTTGTTTTTGTGCTTCATAAAAAGTGCTGGCGAGAATCCATATTTGATTCAAATTCAAATATGAAATATCATCCGCCTATCTTTGGAATACAATTATGTTCTTCTAGTGTTATTTTATGATAATGAAATTAATTTTACAACGACTACACAAAGAAAATCTTAAAAATAGAAAGGGAAAGTGTGAAATAACAATACAAGTACACAAGAGCCAAATATGTGGTGTCTCATAATTTGTCTTTACAGCAAAAAACAACAAACAGTGGATGTTAAAATTTATTTTATAAGTAATATAGTCTTTCTAATTTATTACTTGACGATTGATATAAGTTATTTATGTAATTTTATAAGTATTAGAAGGGTATTCACACAATACAGCGAGATACATCTCGATTTTAGTGTTTTGTTTTTTTATGTTTCAATCGATATTATAATACGGTTTTATGTGTTTTTGAGAAAAAAATAATGTTTTTATTTTTGAATAAAATATAAATATAAAGATATCATAAAAAATTGAATTTTTTTATATTAGTATCAAACTAACTATTTAATATTTGTATATTTCTTCAACTCATTTTTGGTTTAATAATATAATTTTTTTTTTGTAAAGATAATAATTAAGTATTCTGTTAGAACTGAATGATTATAATAATAATTATTATATTTTAGATTTTTTATATTTAAAATGAGATGTTTATCTGCAATTAGTTACACGAATTCGGATATTAAGTTTTAATAAGTTATACTTACACACAATTTACTTGTAATCTCGAATTTTAAGTAATATGCATCAAAAACAGTATTTTATGTCAAATGTTTTATAATATAATGTATAGATAGATTTTGTGTGGAATTTTATAAATATTTCCAAGATTCTCTAAAAATAAAAGAAATATTTTACGATCTCCGAGATTTGGTGTAAAAAGTAATTATTACTTCCCTGAAGGCGGAAAGGAAAGTCCCATTTTGTTTAATGGGCTTGAATGCATGGAAAAGCACAAGCACAGGCCCAGTACATATACACACGTGCGAATCACGTGATAAAAAACATGACTCCCTTTTCTTTCTTATTCTATGACCCTTTTAAGTGGAAATTCGCCCTGGCTCACGAAATCACACCCAAATTTTTACACCCCCATTCACGTCACTTCTCAAATCAAAATTTCAATTTACACCACCAAACCCAAGAAAGATCGAATATCACTCCTAAAATCTTTTGCCTCACTGCTAATTCTTCTTTCATGGATTTATCGGAGCAAGAGGTAGACTTGTTCGGTGATTTAGAATTCGAAAACGAAGATACCCATAAAAAGGAAGACGATAGCGGCCAACAATCTTCATCATCTGCTTCCTCTTCATCCTCCTCCTCATCCTCTTCGTATTCATCGTCCAATCGGAGCAGTAGCGGAGGAGGGGGGAGAGGTAGTGGCAGTGGCACTGGCAGTGATAGCAGCGGTGGTTCCGTCAGCGCTGCTGCTGCTGCTACCGGAGATGCTGTTGGTGGAGGTGAAGAGGTAGAGGAAGATGAGGATAATGGTGAAGTGAGGTCAACTTATTATAATCAGCAGTATGGTTATGATGATGATTATAATGTTGTTGAAGAAGATAAAGATTTGTTTGGGTCTGATAATGAAGAATATGTTAAAACCCAAATTGCTAGTCCTTTTCCTGTTCCTGGTAATCAAATTAATCTTGTGCCTTCAAATATTTCGATGAAAGATTTCATTTTTGCCGCATGTTAATGGGAAATAAAATTAGTATTTGAAGCTTCCTTATGTGTTTTGGGTTCATGTTTCTAAAAGGGATTGTTTGTATAAGCCTTTTTACTCGTTTTTATATCTAAAAGATTCGATTTTGAAGCATGTAACTGGCAAAAATATTCGTTATGAAGATCACCCATGTTGTTTTAGTGTAACATTCTTTGATTTTTTTTGCTGTTGTCATGGGTGAGTTAGCATGGATTTTACGCAAGAAAAAGAAGAACCATTGATTTTGATATTTTTTTGAGCTGAATTATCGTCTCCATGCTGTTTTTCTGTTGGTGATGGAATTTTAAGTCTAAAGCTATTTCTGGGATTCTCATTATGACCATACTAATGTATCTAATGTCTCTAGGACTCTATTTGATTTGGCATCACAAACTTATGTTTTTATGGTTTTGTTCCACTGGATGGTTATTTTCTTGATGATTTTGTGAATTTTTTCTTGTGGGTTTTCTTCGTAGCTACATGTGTGTGTGTCCTATCTTGGTTTTTTGTTTGTGTATGTAAGTTTTTTAAAACATTTTTGATTGGGTATCAGTGGTTATGGGTAAAATTTCACTTGCCACGATTTATTGTTTGCATTTGGAAAGTCTTGCTTTTGGGGAAAGATTGCCTATAAATTCAATCATAGTTGAAGGTGCTGTTAATGCCAATGTTATGGAAATGAGAGGCAATCTCTTTGACATTTTATTGCCATTCCCACATCGATATAGTGATCAAGGAGACTTGAGGGAGAAAGATATAGATGATAATAKAAGGATAAACGGTTAGGTTGCGCTTCTTGTGAGAGGGGTTGTAGAATGTAATGATTCTTTTTTTATGTCATTAAGTTGGTATTGTGTCCTTACCTTATGAGAGTGAGTTGGTGTTAAATGATTGCCAAAATTGTGCAAACTTGCATGGTTGTAGTTATCATGACTTAGTAGGTTGCTAGAGTAACAAACCAAACAAACCAAACAAAACCAAACCAAACTGGCTCAGTAAATCTCATTGGGGGTGTGATGTATGCAGTTTGACCTCTTTGCAATCAGGGTAGATACTACAATTATGATTACTTTTATTGATTAGTAGGCAAATTGCCTGAGGATATAGTATTTTGGCTATGTTTATGGATTCTTTTTATGTTTAGGTTACTTGAAATATGTAGATAATTTGGTTGGACTTCTTGATTAACACCCGATGGACTTTAGGCTGTATACAGAGTTATAAAGTAGATGTTATTAGCTGTATCATTTGATCTTCCTTCTGGTGTAAGATTGTTAATTGGCATTACTATTCAATGGACGTCATGATGCTTTTGCGGTCCTTGTCATCTTCTATTGATTTCTCTTCATCAAAGCATTATTTGACAGGTAGTATGTAGAATAAACAATCCATTCTTTCAGAATGATATCAACTTTGTATTTATCTTGTTAGAAATTAGGTGTGCTTGTTGATAGTAAAAGTCTTCCCAATTTTTTGAGATGATAGTATACAGTGCCCATGGTTTTCAATGATGCCGTTGTCCATTAGCCACTTCTATCTTCAAATCTGTGCCATTTAGTTTCCTCTTTTTGTGTATATGGCTAAATAATGAATATAGTTTCATAGTGGAATTTATGTTGCTCAAAAGAGATCTTACTTACCACTTAGTGGATGAAGGTGAAAAAATGTAGTTTTCTAAATGTTTCATCCTTCATTCTTATGATTTCAAGATTCTACATTATTTAAAATATATATTGATTTTCCATAGCTTGGATAAAGATCGGACAAACTTTTGTATGTTATGATATTTGACAAGGCTTATGAAGTTTGACGGGCCTTGTTAATTTTTCATTTTATTCTCATGTTTAGACATGCACATGCCTATATGCATATGTATACATCTTCATCCACTTTATCTCTTTTTTTTTTGTAAATTTGCTTTTCAGTTTTACCACAACCCCCAGCTCGTAATACAAACAATCCAGGCAGAGGAGGAAGTTTTGGTCGTGGACGTTGGCAAAATGACAGAGGAGGAGCTGGCATCCTTCCTCGGCCTGGACCATTTCCCCAGAGACAAAACTATGGTTATGGGTCTAAGTTYTATGCTCCTCGTAATGATGAACGTTTTGTTTCAGAACTCAAGTTTTCCAAGAGTGAAGAAACATTGTCGAGGAAGTGCATAGCATTTCAAGAGGTAAAAAGGTTCATAGTTTTTTTCCTTCTTTTGTGGTACTAATCACATGGTACTGAAGTCATGACTTTTAGGTTGTTCACTTAATTTCTATTCATAGATATTGGGATCGATAAGCATGGGTAGACCCTAGTAATTGCATAGATCAAAATTGTATTTATTTGATTTAACAATTTGCCTACATTTATGGGAGTTGCTAGGGTTTCTTATATTCTTTCAAATTTCTAATAGTACATTTAGGCTCCATATCTGACAATATTAACAAGCTTTTTTTCGGTCGGTCTGTCTGTCTTTATTTTTTTGTATTTGTTCTCCACTTTAGGGATTTTCTATGTTCTAACATATTCAATATTTTTGGATGGTGTCATCTGTCAAGTAGCCGACTGAACTTGGTTGCTATAGTCGTGTRGAAGGCGGAGAAGTGTACTTCGATGATAGMAGTTTGGTGAGCTTTGTTTTCGTTTTATTTGACTTTCTATCTTAATCTTTTATTCAAGGAAGACAGAGGGTACACATTCAGTTTAGAGGTTAAAAATGGCTAGTTTTTAACTTTGGATGTGTTACGACAAACTATTGTGCTAAAAATTTAACAGTATCCAATCAGAATTTTATTTTGCCGATCGTTCCTTTGATCTTAATAAAGAAAGTGTGCCTCTTTTTTCCGCAATGGAGTGCATATTTTAAAGCTCAAGCATTTTACGCTTTGTTTTATGTTGTCAGCGGCTTTTTAAGCGTCTTATTACTGAAGATATCGGAGCTGATTTGAACCAAGGTTTTGATACTTTTATTGAGAAGAAAGGTACACCCTATCTTTGTAATAAATAAATAGCAACTTTTGTTGCACCAAATAATCTCTCAGACCAAAGGGCCTTTGGCCTAGTGGTATCCCGGTTGCCGGTAGAGCCTAGCTTTTTAGCAGGTCAAGGGTTCTAACCTTATCAAAGTCGAGGGGGGTGTGTGTGTTTATATGCCATATATAAATATCATATGCTTTAAAAAGAAAAATCTTTTAGGTTTTAATGTACAGGCATTTAGTCTTTACCTATCTTTTGTTATTGTTTTTTCTCACCAGATTTGGGCTCCCAGGGCTTTGGAGATCTCCTAGCTTGCATACGAAACAAAAATATTCCGTTACAGAATATGCATTTTGTGGTGAGTGTTGTTTTCATTATTACTTTTATCTGCCTCACAGTATGCTTCAGATTCTTTACTTATTTGTTTTTTCTCTCTTCTTTTCCTTGTGATTTGCAGACCTATCGGAACAACCTCAATAAGGTATCTTGCTGCCTTCCCATATTTTTTTGGCATGCATCTGTAGCACATGTTTTAGCCTATGGTGTTTTAGTGGATTCAATGGTTAATCTGTATGTATTCAATTGTTGGCAGATATTGGCCACTGCTTATATGAGGCACGAGCCTTGGGAAATGGGTGTGCATAAAAGGAAAGGGGTTGTGTATCTTGATGTGCATAAACTGCCTGAAAGGCCAAAAAGTGAGCTGGATCGTCGGAGGTACTATACCAAAACAAAGCTTTTTGTGTTCTTTGTTTCTGTTTTTGGGAATTTTAGAACTTTCTTTTTTAGCTATGATCATTGAAAATAAGATTTGACTTTTCTTTTTTAGTTCATAGAATTTAATTGTATTCATGTGGGTGCTTATGTGTTATTGGATTAGGTGTTATTGGGGATATTGCTTTGAGACGCTTGCTACTGAAGATCCAACAAGGGATGATGGAGAAGGGATACACCATGTTGATGCCAACGTTGAATATTGTTCTGTAGTTAAAACCAAATTAGGTGCACATCGGATTCTAATGGGTGCTGAAATGGACTGCTGTGATTCCATGGATGATGGAAGGAGATTTTATGTGGAACTAAAAACTAGTCGTGAGGTTCGTGACCTGCATTTCAAATATACCCCTTTCCTATTACGAGTAGTATTCACACCTTTTTTTCGTATATATTTGCAGTTGGATTACCACACTGAGGAAAGATTTGAGAGGGAGAAATTGCTAAAGTTTTGGGTATTATTGTCTTTCTTGCTCTACCTCATTATATTCATTTCACTTTTGTGAATGCTTACCATATTATGTGTTTGAATCTATTTATTACAACACAGATTCAGTCTTTTCTTGCTGGTGTCCCGTTTATCGTCATTGGTTATAGGTACGTTCCATTAAATATAAAAAGGTTCTTAAACAGTATATGCATAAATTTTCGACAGCAATTATGTTTCTGTACGTGACTAAACTATTTCTTTATGTTGATAGTTTATTGCAGTAACCATTAATGGTCTTTTTGTAGGGATGATGCTGGCCGGCTTGTGCGTACAGAGAGATTAAGAACGAAAGACATAACTCACCGGGTAAAAATGAAAAATTATTGGCAGGTAAGCATTGATCGGTTTCAAATCACCCCTATCCCCAACCCCAACCCCGTATCTGTGTGATGATGTTTCTTGAGTTGACTAAATCGACAGGGAGGAGTTTGCTTGGCATTTGCTGATGAGGTTTTATGTTGGCTGTATGGCACCGTGAAAGAGAGTAAGATTTCATTATTTTCTTTAAAAAATAAAAGAAGTTATGAAGTAGTGTCTTGAAATGTTGATTGTGTGGGATGACAGATGAAGACTATATACTGCAATTTGCTGCACCATTTACGCGTTTGGAGCTTCTAACTGCACAATCTTGCCCACAAGAAATAACTGATCATGTTGAGCAACTATGAATGAAGAAAGTGGTGGGTGATGGTCTTTTTTCATGGCCAAATCCTAGGATTTCTTTTTGTTGTGGGAAAAAGAATTTAGAGACTGAAAGGCATGCCCTGAAGCCAAAGATGGCTGGCTCTTTTGAATTCTGGGCATCATGATATGATATGATATATACATATAGCAGCACATGAAGATTTGCATCATGTTTTGTTTATGTACGTACCTGTAACGATCTAACTTTTGTTTCTTCTAGAGTTTATGCCCAATTAGTATTTGGATTGAAAATACACACCATTTTTTAGTTGTTTTGTTTCTGTTCATGCTACATTTTGCATTTTTTTGACTAGAAAAGTGGTTTTGTTTGTAGTAAATGAAATTATTTTAGACACAAAATTTTATATGATGTCATAAACACGATCGCAAGAAACATATAGATAGTGGCACGGGTTATTAGAATGAGCAGCTGCGGCTGAAGATGAACATGTCGGATTTGGATTTGGATTTGGATATGGATATGGATATGGTTAAGAATATGACATTTAACAGAATTGTTGAAGATGCATTATTAAAATAGCATAGCATAGTAGAGTCGGATAAGACGCAAACACTTATTTTTTGGTTAAAACCTAAACAAAAAGTATAATAAATGAATTTCTTTCTACCTTCTTTTTAGTCTGTTTTCTTTGGTCAAAACTTTTTGGCTTGCATGTTCTCATAAGCCATGAATTTAAAACGGTATCCTACTTGTGATACAAGACATGGATCTCATTTCCTACTTTGCTTAGGTTTATGTTTATCAAACACTTATATCGCTTATTGGATAACACGTTTCAATTCAAAATGGTATAATAAAATTATGGCAGATAAAGAATAATTAGATAAACGGGGATATTTTTTAGGTTTTGATTTGATATAAACTTATTCTTTAAAAATACTTATTATAACCGAAATAAATCAATAAATTGTTTTTACAAGCCACCAAGTAAGTACCCATGTATTGAAGCGGTCGAATGTATTTACAAATTGCAGGCGGGTTTAGACAAATCGCAGATTTTGTTGACCTGACCAAAAGAAACCCCATACAAACCGACTTCTTCCATCAGGAGATGACGGAGATCGGTGCGTCGACTACTAGTAGCAGCGCCATGGAGTCGATAATGGAGAGATTATCTCATCTAGAAAACCTCTACTTTCCTAGGGCTCAACAATCCTCCGCTCTCCTTCCTTCACAACGTAAATCCATCCTCCAAGATCTTTACTCCCGCGATACCCCTGTTTTCTTAGGTAAATTCCAATTCCAATTCAATTTCTTATTTCTTCTATTTCAGTATTCCATAATCAACACCTCTTTTTCATTTACGCTAGTTTTTACTGATTGATTAATTATCGCTTAGCTTTCATGGTTAATTGTCAACACAACAATCTCAACTTTGTTACTTCGTATCTTTGTTTCATATGCTACTGGAATCAGCAATTTCTCTCTGTTCGGCCACAATTGGATGTAGCTTGCCAAATCAACAACCATTTAAATTCCAGCTTCATTCTTTTTGTTTAGGTTTCAAAGAGGAATTCATTAATTGCATTGAAATCTATGGCAGTATTTTGAATTTCATGAGCACTTGGGTTGTTTCTCTTAATAATGCAAATAAAGACACCCATTGACGCTCCAGCCAGACTTTGGACGCACAATCTCATGGTTGGCGGGATTGAAATGAAACTATGAATTCCCCGGGAGTAGGTTTTACCCTTTTACTTTTCAAAGTTAATAGGGCACTGTGATTTAATTTCTAAGGCACCTAAAGTTGGTCTGCTTCTGTATTTGTTCTAAGAGTATCAATCCTGTATCCAGTTTACTCATCAAGAACAGTTGATTATTGTTTCCTTGAATTGCTAATGCCAAATTCATCTGACTTTGTTTTCAATTGTGCGTGAAAGTTTGTTATTGTTGATTGATCGACCTATACATCCAAATCCTTTAGTCAAATTCATTCACTTGTGTTATTCGTTGATGCACATTCAGAGCGCTACGGATCACTACTAACATTGGAGGAGCTTAAGGAATTTGATGTATTAAGAGACAATTATGAAATCAATTGGCATCTAAATCATCTACGGAGTTTGATTAGTCCAACATCTGAGGATTTGAAGTTGAGGTCTGCAAAGGTTAAAAATCGGAGGCGTGCATACATGGATAAGTTGATGTTTGATGGGAAATTCTTCTCTGAGGATGCAATGAGGGATAGAGAACCCTACTTGCACCATGAGTTTTTGGGGAAATTTCAAGACCCAAGTGGAAGACGCATGGCTAGGCCTGGGGAGCGGTGGTCTGAAACGTTGTTGAGGAGGGCAGAGGAAGGAGTTTTGGTGGAGAAGATTAGGAGGGAGCAGCAGAGATTGGGTGTTGATGAGAGGGAATGGGTGGGGAATGAGAGAGTGCAAGAAGAACAAGAGGAGGAAGAAGAGGAGGAAGAAGAGGAAGATGAAATGGAAGAAGGAAATGATGGTGATATCAATATTCATAGAAGGATGCATCAACGCGAGGTAATTGGTTGCCTTATGTTCACTGAAATATCTGGTGCAGCTTTTAGGTTTTTCTTTCTTATTGCCTAGAAATATAAAGGGTCTGTTTGTTAGGAGCTTAATGATGACACTCACAGCTTATTCGGTCAGCTATACTTGACTCTTTGGTAGTGGCTTAATGATATTGAAAGTGACTTATTCAGTAAGCTTCTAGGGCAGAAATTTATGCAGAAAGCCAAGTTTTTCTAAACCTATCCTTCCCAATTAAAAACACGTTCCTTCTATTTATGAAAAAACCCTCCCAAACAAAAACCTTCCCTATCTATACAAACAAACTAATATATCCATACATGACTTAGGCCTGTTTGAAAACGACTTAATAAGCTTAATGGACCCTTTAGCTTATTCGATCAGCTATATTGTGGTGTTTGGAAGCAGCTTAATGATTAAAAAATGAGCTTACCGAATAAGCTTTTAGAGACCACCCTTATGCACACAGACACCACATTTCCACTCCTACCCCTTTTGAACTTCACGGGAGAAAAAGCCTAACCGCCCTGCTCCTCCCATCCATCTCAGTCAAAAAACTTCGCCTCCCTACTTTTCATCCCTCTCAATCGGACAACGTTGCCTCCCTGTTGCTGCCCTACCCCTCCTCCGGCGTGAGTGTTGCTGTTGCCGCCTATTTTGAACAGATTCTCGTCCTCCTCCATTGAAAACCCTCTCTGACGGATATGAACAGTTCCGTCAGCCTTGTTGCTGACCTAAACCCCCTCCTCCATCGGAAACCCCTTTGTCCCTGTTGTTGTTGCCCTGGGTCGAGGAGACCATGTCCTCCTCCAGATACAGATTGAGGCATATAAGGTTCAAAGTATTTGGATTTGTGTTTGATTGTTTGATTTTTCAGATGGAGATCGAGACACTCAGATGCAGAATTGGGTGTTTGATTTTTCATAGTTTATTTTTCATTTTAAGTATTCGATTTTGGGTTGATGTCCTTGAGATATTTATTTTTTAATCACCATTCCTTGTTTGGATCTGATTCAAGGATTGATTTTCTTGATGTTCTTAGAGGTTCCATTTTCATCATTAAGACAGTTTATTCAGCACAATAAACAAACACCAATTTTATTTAATACATACAAACAACTTTATACATAAAGACAACATTATCCATACAAGACTTAATGAAAAACCAACCAAACAGCCCCAAACTCTAGTTTGTTTAGAAACAAGAAGGAACATAAAATTTATTTGTATGTGATGTTGATTTTTTGTTGACTGTATTTGTGGTTTTAGGTCCTCCCAGATGACAAGGGTAGTTTAGGCAATGAGGAGGGTACAAGTTTATCAGCTGAAGAGATGGCAGATCGAATGGACCAATTTACGCATGTGATGCAACAGAAGTTTCTATCGGGTGAAGATCATCATCATTTTAATTACTCGAGTATAGATGAAGATGAAACATTGGATGATCACTGGATGAGGGAAGCTAATTATGATGCAGAAGAGAAGTACTTTGCCGATGTTTGACTCATAATTCTGCTACTGTAATTACTAGTGTCGTTGTAACAAACATCTATCGTATCGTTTTTCTGTTTCGTAGATTTTTTGACAACAACGTTGTAATAAATGGTATTCTTCAGGTGCTTGTTTTTCATTGTGGTTTTATTGTTTGGTTAAGTTTTGATGGCATGATATTATCAAGTGCTACATCCATCTTTTGTTGTTCCTTTTGGTCAATAAAGCATAACTCGTAGTGCATTAATGATTTATTCATAATGCTTAAAGTTTAAGATGGTATAGATATTTAAAATAAAATAAAATAAAACTGCGAACATGACTTGTGCATTGAAAAGAAAGTCTGAATTGTGAATGAAGCTGGCTTCAAATATATGATTTAGCTTTAATAATTTAGACTTTTATGATATTTCTAACCGATTCGAATTAAAAAGGGGGCTGTTTCTCTCTTGCATTAGTCAATCGACGCGACGGTTATATATAGATAGATAGATAAAATCCAAATTTTAGTAATTGAATTTTAAAAGTGGTTACTAAAATATTTATTTGCGAAATTATGTGGAACTAAAATTGGGATTAGAAAGAAAATAGCGATAATGGGATGATGAGGTGTTGAAGCAACACACCACTGGTTTTTCAACGTCCATCTGATCGAAGTAATAATCCTACTCGCACTCGCACTCGCATCCGCATCCGCATCCGCATCCGCATCTACCTCTGCTTCTTCTTCCCGCCGGTCCTCCCTCACTCAAACCCTAAAACTCCAATTTCTGGCAAAACCCTAATTTCTCCCTCTCAAAATATCCTATATTTTTCTCCCTCTTTTTCATCAACGTAGAGAGAAAGGATAAAATGTACAGGGAGAGAGGTGGAGGAGGATCAAAGGCCAAAATAGAGGTGACTTCCAGAGTAGGTGGAGGTGGATTGAATTTGAATGGGAAAGATGATAATAAAGACCGYTTGTCAGCTGGGAGCTCCAACCTTTCTAGGTCGTCTTATCCCGATRACARATCATCCAAAGGTWTTCTTTTWTCTCCTCYTTGAAATTTCTCATGTACGAGTTTTCTATACCACCAAATATAGGTTAGATTTCTGATTGTAGTGATTTATCTCTCTTCAAACCATCGAATGCTTTTCCTGACTACTCAAACCAAATGGAGCTATTGAAATAGCTCATCTAGGCACTTGTCTCCACCTAGTTCACACAAATTGCAGTCTTTTTCTTTTGGATAATACAAGTTGAACAATGAGGAAMATTTATTTATGTCAACACGACAAGTAGATTAAGCAGCTCTTCCAGGTGGTTATAGTTGCTGACCTGTTTAATTATTGGATACTTTGTGATGGTGAATATGAAATATATGAAGGATCCATGGAGCTAGAGCTAATTAGCGTACAAACTTTGTGGTYCTGGAGATCAATGATAATACAAAGGRGAAGCAAACRTTCTTGTTTTTATCATAGGCAAATTGTGCAGGCAGTTAGTTTTCTGTTACTTTTAAAGCATTGCATTATGGTAACAAGTACATTTTGTATCTTCCATGCATTAGAGGTTTCCCATGGGTTGATGAGKTTTTGTGCTTTGTTAGGTGTTTCTGTATGCCGTTTGTCCCTGTCTGTTGCAATTTGAACAGACACACAACCTTGAGATATTCTGAAAGTGGCGTGCTACTTTCAAGTATTGGCACTACAATTGTCAATGAGATTTAAATTAACCAAGTATTTTTCGGTGTCCTGGATCCCAAATATGTTTCCCCTGGAAGCCTTCATTTAAGGAGGTGAATCTTATTTACAATTTTAATATGCAGTTATCTGGAATTGAATGAATGGGATCATGTCTTTTTGCTTAGGAATTGCTTATTACAGTTATTTTATTTGCATATCATCATGTGAAGTTGGAATTACCACAGAGATTCAGATGATTGATTAAGCAAACAAGTTGAAATAGTGCTAATGTAATTGTAGTAGGTGATTCTTCATGCCAGATCCATGATGTGAAGTTGCATTTTAGGATCCAGTCCTTGAAAATTGAGATACCAGGTGGATAATAGCCAAAATCCCACAAGTGGGAGATGAATTCTTGTACCTTTGAGCTGATCGAAGGAGTTCATGGCCCTATATGTTGCATCTTGCATGGTTCTTTTTCTTTCTATGTCTTTCAATTTCCACATGTTCTATGGTCCTTGTTTGGAATCATTGAGTATGGTTTGAGATAGGAGTTAGGATTATTTCCTTGTGTATTAAGTTGGCTTCATACGGGTACACTGGTCCAATACTTGAAAAAAGATAGTTGAAGGAAGAACTAATGTATTGGAATTAGTATTCTTAATGGTAAAAATTTTACTGGCTTTATAACAAGTTAGTTCAAATTATTTTGTAATTTATATAAATTAACTATCATTTGGGTTCTAAATTTCTGATCGTTACTTCTTTACTTCATGGTTCTCCATTGATACACATGATCACAATGGATATGTTTACGTGTTTTGCTTCCTTTTGGAAGTACAGTATATTTGCATTCTATATTGATCATCATGTTATATATCTGACAAATATCTACCATCCCTATTATCATCATGTTACATTTCTGACTTTGCATATACAGGATAGAAAAACATACTATCCTCTTATTATTCTGACAAATATCTTCTTTGCTTATATAGGTGATAAAAACGTAGCAGTGGAATCTGAAACAGACAGTGAGGAATCAGATGTTAGTGGCTCAGACGGGGAGGAAACATCTTGGATTTCATGGTTTTGCAGTCTACGTGGAAATGAATTTTTCTGTGAAGTTGATGATGATTACATCCAAGACGATTTTAATCTCTGTGGTTTGAGCAACCAAGTTCCATATTATGATTATGCTCTTGATCTGATCTTGGATGTTGAGTCCTCTCATGGTGAGGCTCTTTTCCTACGTTCATATATGATCTTTAGCATTAATTTATATCTTCAACTTCCATGATACATTTCATATCATGTTAGTTTTCATCTATCATCCATTCTATGCATCGACTTGCAATCATACATTTCATAAAGTTTTTGAAACATTTAATTTAGTGATTAGTTGCTACGCAAAGCAGTGGGGATGGTTAAGACTTATGCAGGTGGCCCGAACTAATTGAATGGTGGGGAATGCCTAACTCCTAGACTGCCAAGTAATCAGTGCTTAGGGGGAATTCTTAGAACACAGTGAGTAGAAAACTATTCTGCTGGTCCAGGTGTACCCTTGGTTGATTTTGTGCATATACATAGAATGCATTATGTGGAGATTGCCTACCAGTCATGGTTTTAAAAATCGTTCGAGGCTTACGCCTCGAGGTGAGGCGGCTCAAAACCGCACCTGAGGCGACCCCTCTTGGACCTTGGACGAGGCTTACGCCTTGGTTCAGTGAGGCGGTTCAGTGACGCGATGTCGAGGCGTATGCCTCAGATGATCTACTTTCGTAATGGTCTTTTCTTTGACTTTTTTATAAGCTTTATGGCATTAGTAGTACTTCTCTTTATAGTACGAGTCTTTTTGCATTTTTAAAAAACTAAAAGTTAAAGCACAATGGCCTCAATGTGTATTTTAATATATTAAAACCCAAAAAGCTGGTACTTTCTCCTCTCAATCAAAAAGTGTGGTTGGACCCTTCCTCTTCCTCCAAGCAATCAATGTTTCCAAACCCTCTCAGCATGTCCCACGGTTTCACTCTTTCTTATGTCAACAACTACTGAACCAACGCCTCTTAGTAATTTAGTATTATATATAATATATATACACAAATGTATATATATTTGTGTAGTATATATACGTATTTTGGTGTATCTATTTTTCCGCCTTGTGCTTATGCCTCGGACTGCCCCGAGGTTTACGCGTCGCCTCGTTGATGGAAAACGCCTCGAAGCCCAATTCCGCCTTTTAAAACCTTGCTACCAGTGTAGCCTGTATTGTATTATCTTTCATCGTATGAAGATTTCTGTCATTGTTATTCTCAGTGTACTTTAAGAATAGAGGAGTGATGATAACAAACTGATTAGTTTGCCTTTGGTCCTGATAATTGTGTTTTCCTGGAATTTTTTCCAAGTTCGCAACTTGTTGACTTGTGTTGCTTATGATGTGAGAAAATTTTATGTATTACTCACTCCTAGACATGGTTGATTTTTTAAGCTCTGAAGTGAAACTCATGCGCTGTAACTATTGACTCTCTGCATTCTGCCATGGACTCTTTTAGTTTGTTCCAGTCTCCAACTAAGGTTGGCTTCTTTTTGCTTTAGAGCCTCGTACTGGATTGTTATTTTAACTTAGGGGCCGTTTACCAAATGGTTACCTGGTAAGCGCTTACCAAGTCATATTACATTACCAATGAACATGACAAGGACCAAGAATCTTATCCGGTAAGCGATGACAAGGACCAAGAGTCTCACCCGGTAAGTGAGGGTGACGACTCTTACCCGGTTAGCGGTTGTCGGGTAAATTGTTGCATATGATGCTGTTTTGATGGACTAAAATCTTATCCGGTAAGATAAGTGATAGTGTTGAATCTTACCGGTAAGTGCTTATTGGGTAAGTGTTTGGGTAAACGGCTGTTTAACGAGTATGCTGATTCCACATCTTGTGCTCTCCTGCAGTCCTGCTCCATCCTAGGTAAGTTCTGACTGGTCTCTGTTTCAAACAGTGGCATTAAGGGCATTGCTAGAAGCCTCATTTTTTTGCCATAGAACTCTGAGGTGGTAATCCCCCACACACACGATATATATAATCTCTCTTACCAATCTTTCTTGGTGAAATAGTTGGAGACCCCTGGGTTATGCTTGGGAGACCAAAGGGAGTTCAATACTGAACCTAAAATATCAATGACATAACAAATTAGTGGTCTTGCCATTTGGAGAGAAATAAACAGATATAACACACATTGTGAGTTTGTCACTAGCATAAGAAAAAAATTGGAGCGCAAATTTGTTTTTTCCACAAAGAGCTTGATGAGAAGAAACCCTCGCATCCCATTCTGTAGGTGTTAATGAGCTGAGCTGAACTGTGTTGTAAGTGACTTGATTCTGACTAGCTTGGTTTTGACAATTGCTTAAATATTCAGCTTGATTTTAAATCTAAGCCTCTAACTGCATGTGGCTTGAATTAAAAACTTTAATTGCAATTATAGAATAATAGGGTTTCAAAGTAGTGTTTCTTAAGGCTGAGTCATTACACATTAGTCTTGTCATCTAGAAACCTTATGACTTTTCAATTGAAAGACTCCGGTCCCTTTTGCAAATTTTAACATAAAGAAAGCAATGGTGCATCATTCCCATTTGCTTTAAACATGAGTTGGGCCTGATTCAAGCTTGAGTAGCTTCACTCGCTTTAGATCCCTCCCCACCCCACCNCACCCCACCCCACCCCACCGTTGTATTCTCGGTTGAACCTTACCATAGGAAAGTTCAACAGATAGGAAAACTTGTTGGATATTGATGTAATCATAACTTCTAGAGGTATATGTTGTTCATGGACTTCTAGAGGTATATGCTCTAGAGGTCTACAGATTATTATTTCATGGACCACAGAATCTGACCTACTTTTAGTAATATGATCTATATGCCATATATTGATATGTTGAAGGAAAACGATCATTTTTGTGTTAGTTTTCCAAAATATAAATTTTAGTTCCTGTTTCTTTTGCAACCATTTTCACCCGTAAATGCAAGGATTCATTGCGTCTTCTATTTGATAATCTTACATTGTTTGGATCCTGATCCATAATGTTTTTTTTCTAATATATATACGTGTATATATATATATATATATGTATGTATGTATGTATGTATGTATGTATGTATGTATGTATGGATGTATGTACATAGATCATGATTGCTCATGTTGTGATCTAAATCGTTCCCTGGTATCTAAGTTGCATGTGAGAATTAAGTTGTTTGTATATGCAGATGAAATATTCTCAGAGGAACAAATTGAACAAATTGAATCAGCAGCAGAGATGCTTTATGGTCTAATTCATGTGAGATATATCTTGACAACTAAAGGATTGGGTGCCATGGTAAGAATTTGAACTGTAATCTTAAATTGGTAGGTTTATACCTCGATAACAATTAATATGAGACCGTCAATCTTTTGTGAAAAATAGCTGGAGAAGTACAAGAACACAGAATTTGGCAGATGCCCAAAAGTCTACTGTTGTGGGCAGCCCTGTCTTCCTTTTGGTCAGTCGGACATTTCTCGCCAGAGCAATGTCAAGATTTACTGCCCCAAATGTGAAGATATTTACACCCCTCAGTTCAGGTTTCAAGATAGTATCCTTCATTCCATTTTGCAAGTTCTTTTTCTTCTTTACCAAAACTTGGTAGTTTCAACAGGCATTAACAAGCATCTCAATCTACAATGAGGTTAGGGTAGTCTTCATTTTTCTTAGATGAATTTCGTCTATGCTATTCAAACTAGAACGATGAAATGGATTGATATTGTGCTTGCAAACATAGACTTGCGCGACCTTATCAACGAAACCAAACAAACCCAGTATATCCCACCCAGATCATTTAATATGTGGTCAGGAACATGCTGCAACTTCATTGAATACAAAATTTAGAAGCATAATGAAATAGAATGTGGATCTTGAAATGTTTCTTTAACAAAAGCTAGACCTTGATGGGGCATATTTTGGGTCGACGTTCCCTCATTTGTTCCTATTGACGTATGGACACCTGAAGCCACAAAAGACATTGCAGGAGTATGTTCCCCGAGTATTCGGCTTCAAGGTCCACAAGCCATGATCGACAACCAAGGTTTGTTTTCCAGGCTGCTGGTTGGTATTCGCTTCATCACAACCTTAGGCTTATACGTTAAACTATGTAACCGAAACATTTATGTTATTGTGATTGATTTTTTGGCAAATTTTTGATTTTATATATAGATATATAAAATTTTGGTATGGGTGTAATTAGGAAAGCTAACATGTTGCAGTTTTATTGACCCTTTGCATTGTCTTGAATTTGAAGGCAAAGCAGAGAGATTGGTGGGCAACAACTTTTGATATGGTAGTTTTAACAGAAAAAGGATCACATAAACTCATTTTCAGTGGTTTGGAACATAATAGCAACATCATGTATATTGAACATTGAAAGTTGATTTGCAGAGGTTGATGGTGTTTTCATGAATTATGATGTAAGAAACATGCAAACTTTGAATATTTAATAATAAATAAATTATGTGAATGGAAGAGGATATGGATATGTAGTGTAGTGTAGTGTAGTGTAGTGATGTTTGATGTGGAAGTTGCTGCAATCAGAGTCCATTTCCATGAATTTTGTTTCAGAAACAGAAGAAAACATTCCAAATCTGAATTAGCTTCACTCACCACTTTGCACTTGAATAATTTACAGACATTGTGTTTCTATTTGGCTACTTGTGTTTACAGACAGACAGGACACCCATTTTGTTCTAATTACCTCTTTTTCATTTTGTAATGAAGGAGTTAAAGAATAAAAAAAATATATCAAATTAAGCTAATAAATAATGATTAGTTGGGGGAGCGATCAAATGCAAACCACTCAATTTGTACAAACCGTGCAAATCGCATTCAACCAATCATAATTTTTCATTTTGTTCATTTTTTTTATAATTATGAGAGGTTGATTAATCATTTTTATTGTGGATGGTGTTAATCATAGATATTATCATCTTCATAATTTTAATTTTAGAGAAATACATGAAACAGTTTCATTAATGTTAGAGAAATACATGAAACAGTTTCATTAAGTATTATATGAAACAATTTCACAACCATATATGAAACAACTTCATCAAAAAAAATATTATATGAAACAATTTCATGAAAAAATTTCATAAGATTAAACAATGAAATCGACAGATGAAGGTGGTTTGCACGGTTTACACAAATGAGGGCGGTTTTCATATGATCACTCCTCTATCTATATATATATAGATAGAGAAGGGAAATTGAATGGTGCACATGGATGGCACGTGATGGAAACACAAAACAAAACGGGAATATTACCATGCATTGTGGATCTTGACTCTTTTCTTTTTATTTATTATTATTATTATTATTATTATTATTATTATTATTATTATTATTATTATTATTATTGTTATTGTTATGTGTGTATATGTATATATTGGTACCGTTATGTAATAAATGTTGAATACATGTACTATTATCATCTCATAAATGTTGATTTCACCACTACTTAACCCTTGCCATTTTATATAAATTCTAACATATTTTATAAATCAATCTTATAATATTTTGTTTTCTAATCCATAACCATCATCATAATCAATCGTCTTCCACATATATATACATAAATATCTCAATTGTTTCTTAATATCGTCTTACATGTTTTGTATATGAATCCAACTTTGTATATACATACATATATACGGACGAGGTTTGAAACATATGAATAAATCATTGAAAAAGGTAATAATATACATATGAATCATTTACTCATACATTTTCAATATTATTATTTTTTCTTTATTTAAATCTTCCATACATATATATATATATAGAGAGAGAGAGAGAGAGAGGGAGTGAATCAAATAAAAACTAGTCAAAATATGAAAGACAGTTTAATCACATATGATTCCATATTGAAATCACATGCGATCACGAAACATGGTCAACATGAAGATGTACGGATGATTTGACTTGCAACTTCAAATCGTGTGAATCACATGTAATATTGCTCGTGATCTTAACCGTTGGTTTTTAAGGAAAAGAATTGAGTAATAAATTAAACAGTTAAGTAATTAGATGATAGGTGTAGGTGGATGTGTACGTTGACGATTGTGTATATGTTCCCCTTTTATTCATTTTCAAATATTTCTTTATATGATAATTAAGTTTATAATAATGCACAACCTACCTTTTTTAATCTATACCCCATTGTATTATCAAATATTTAGGGGTCGTTTATCTAATCACTTATCCGGTATGTATTTACCAGTAAAATTTAACATTATTGTTTCCTTATTGGGTAAGATTTTATTCATTAAAACGCATCGTATGCAACAATTTATTCCGGTAAGCACTAACCATGGTAAGAGTCATCGTCCTCACTCGGTAAGACTCTCGATTCTTGCATTTGCTCTTACTGGGTAAGATTATTAGCATTTGTCATATTCATCCGGTAAATTAAAGTGACTTGGTAAGTGCTTATCCGGGTAGACGTTTGGTAAACGACACCTTAGTTTCGATTCTAACATTCACACACATACATATAGACATGTTCAAACGAGAGTACCAACTGTTTAAAAAAAATAATCATACATAATTTACATATACATATACATATATATATATATATATATATATACTAGCAATGTGCCCGTGCAATGCACAGAGTGTGCAATAAAAAAACTGCAACGAACGCCTTATGACGGAACACTAAAAACGACTTTTGAAAAGGTCTTTCATAAAAAGCTTAGATTCATTGCATATGCAAATGGGTCCAATCGGAGTAACTTGGACCGATATAAATAAGATGATGAAAGCAAAGTTGGTGATCAAATTTGATAACATGAGGCATTTAGATTAGGAAAAAATAACATGAGGCATTTAGATTATGAAAAAATGGCACAAATAGAAATGCAATAACTTTTTTTGAACTCACCATGTTGTATTTCTCCACCCCCATAATGTTCTCATATTTGTGTAACGGCTTGGATTGATCTATCGCATGGACCACGATAAAAACGCGTTTGAACAATTTGATTACCCATAATCGAGATTTTTTTTGTATAAAAAGCTAAATAAACATGATCGATTTTTATAATAAAATGGATAAAACTGATTTGTCCATTTCAAACTAACTCGAAATAATTTAGAGGTAATGATAATATTATTTGACCACTGAAAGTTATTCAGATATAAACTTGAAAGAAATTTTTGGACGGATGTTAAACAATTAGAAGCTCTAATGCCTCGAAATAAGTACTGTACCAAAACTACATGAATAACATTAATTTTCATATTAAGATACAAATATATTGGTTAACATAAAGCCAAGAAGACATAAATCATACAAACACAAGGGAATTGAAACTTTAMGTTKCTTMTTCGAGTGAATATATTCGAAGTTCATACATCACTTGGCRAGCAGAAATAGGATGTCGTGTTGGAGATGTTGCARCCCTCTCTTAATGAAGTTGGTTTGGTATCCCAGGACCAGCTTCAAACTGAGGAAGCACACATGCAACACAAGCAGCTAGATACCTCCCACAAAGTGAAAAATGGGCCCCCATTTCACTGTACCAACACATCCAACGTAAGCAACCAACATAGGATCAAACCAAACTAAGAAATAGTTCACACTTCTAGTACAAATTATAGATTCATATATACGTAGTGCCAGAGCCCAAAAGAATATGAGTTAATAAACAAATGCCAATTGAAGGATTTGAGTACAATCTGCACCATTTCCACAAGCATAATCTATGTTATTTTGAAGAACTACATCACTTAATCCAGAGTTGCATAACAATAATCTGCACCTGTGTATGTGCATAACTCCATCATGATCATAACCTACTTTATATTGTTGTAAAACAACCCCTACTTTAAAGTTGCAGTTGTTTCTTCATGTTATAGCATCAAGTCTAACAGCAGAGACAGATCAACATCAAGTCTAAAGTAAAAGAGAAGCCTTCTAATAAATGTTTTTATATAACCATAAGTGATATAGTACATTGATACAAATTATACATACCATTACCAAAGGCTTACCATAGAGAGAAAATAAAAACTTTCCTACCTTAGCTACTGTGTTATTCATTTTAAAATATATACAGATTATGTAAACCAAATCAATACAAGATTAAGCAGACATATGTGAAGAGGGACAGTCATGTAGAAGCAATGTAAACAGAAGGTTGTCCAGTGGTAATGGCCTTTATATACTTAACCAAACATATACTCCAAACTGAAACAAACCCAAAAACAGAAGCTGACTATAAGGTCATGATTAGTTTTGAAGAACATGTAAAACAAATCTTGTATTGTTTTTAGAAGCCATGATTAGTTGTGTTTGGTGTTGTATTACTTGTGTATATGACAGTAGCAGCATATATGTAAACAGGTTTACCCCAAGGCACACAAAGTCTTCTGATGGCAAGGATAAGGCCTGGTATACACACACAGTCATGATCCAAACTTTCAAGCTAACTATATATATATATATATATATATGTGTGTGTGTGTGTGTGTGTGTGTGTGTGTGTGTACATATAATAATAGTATGCATATATGTGTGATCAAACTTATGATCCAAACAACCATACATTGCACTCATGATCCAAACTTTCAACTTAGGCATGTTCAAATCAAAATATGCATGTTCATGTTGTTTAAATCAAAATAGGCATTTCATGTGGGGCATAACTCCATCATGATCATAAGGCCCAAAAACAACAGCTGACCATGAGGCCATCACCATTTTGTGTGTGTGCATAACTCCATCATGATCATTATGCATATACGTAAACATGTTTGTAAACAGGTTGTGCTAATATGACAGGTTATGAACAGCCATATGACAGGTTATGAACAACCATATGAACATCGATATTACAGGTTATGAACAGCAATATGATAGAATGGAAGCAGAATGGGAAACAGTGCAGTTTAGCTTCTGTTTTTGGGTTTTTGGGTCTTTTTCAGTTCAACTTCTATTTTTGGGTCTGTTTTTGAAGTCCCAAACATGAAATGGAAACAAAATGAAGTCCCAAATGAGTTTTATGTAAAAAGTTTCCTCAGGTATGCAGGTCTTCTCATTGAACACTAATTATGTGTCTATGTGTCTGTATGAGGGATCATACATATATATGCCTCAAAGAGAGTGTATATATGCATACATACACATCAAATAAGTAGTCTACATATATACAGTACTATAAATAGCCATATGGAAGTCCATAAGTCCATTAATAGGTTGTGCTAATATGAAGGTTGTGAACCAGCTGTTCAGAGTTCTAAATTAGTATATTCAGAGATCTAGTTTTCATAATCATAGTTTCTAAATGACTGGTATACACACACATACATGTGTATATATATATATATATATAAATGTATGTGTACATATAGTAATAGTATGCATATATGTGTGATCAAACTTATAATCAATATGAACAGCCATATGACAGGTTATGAACAACCATATGACAGAATGGAAACATTTCGGTTTAGCTTCTGTTTTTTGGGTTTTTGGGTCTTTTTCAGTTCAGCTATTCAGAGATCTAAATTAGTATATTCATAGATCATTATGATCTAAATTGTCTAGTTAGGTTGTGAACACGGAAAATATGCAATATGCAAGACCATTATGCACAAARCAAGTTTGGCATTATGCAAGTTCCATTTAAACAGGGTTGTGAACAGGGCTAATATGTTGTTTTAAGTGGAAGTTGTGTTTTTCTCAAAAGGATCTTGTGGTGTCTTTGTTCATATGTTATTTAATGTATTGTCTTTGTACATTAAAGTTAAATTTTAATGTTTTGTGTGTTGGAAGCAAAGTCAAGTTGAACATATTTTAAGTTTTTCAGTTTGCAAGTTTTAATTTTTAATGCTAATATGACAGKTTAAACAACCATATGACRGGTTAAACAGCCATATGACAGKTCATGATCATAATGCGTAGTGATGACTGAAATTTGGTAATTTAGCTCGAGAGTTTGCCAAACATCAACTCCTCTTGATGATGCAATCAAGATGATGATCCATCTTGAATGAGAATTGTTGCAACTTGAAAATAGTTGAAAGAGGTAAAAGAGAAGAACAAGAATCGGGCATGTAAAACAATCCATTCATACTTAAAAAAGCAGTATATCATAGTAAAACTTCTTATATATAAATCATAATTACACTGAAGGATGGTAGGGAGCCATGAGGATCTTCAAGTCCAAAAGGTCCACCTCTAGGCTGATCTTTATCATTATCTTGTAGATTTGGTTTAGAGCTACAAAAAAAAAACAATATAGAAAAAACAAATTGACTGGACAAAAACATTTTAAGGAGCATAAAACCAGTAGAAATTGATTGAAAAACAACAAGAATAATCCATAAAAGTCATCTCTTGAATCTTCTAATATCTCATATGAAGCTTCATCCTCCGATTCTTGATTTATAGGTTTATTTATTTCAGCAGCTTCCGAAGCAGAAACCGAGGATCTGTGCATTTTCCTTCTGTTTCYAGGATTTTGCCCATAAGATARTGCCCCAGACGATGTACCAGTTGRTGSAGGGACACCARYAACCCTTGCTTGACCAACATCACTTAAAACTACAAATACCGCATTCAAAACATCAAAATTGTAATCCCTTCCTCTCTACAAATAACTAAATACAACTATACAACTATGTTAACCTGACCTGAAACAAAAAGGAGGATTTGTTAGGCACACAACCACATCCAGAAATCATACTGCTTGATTCTATCTGCGACAAAATAACGACAAACAAAACTGAAGAGCATACCTCATAATCGATTCTAAACAAAACTGAAGAGCAAAATTGAAATGGAATTCAAAATCACCTCTAAAAATGGAAATCTTAATCAAAATTGAAATCAATAGGGTTTTGAAGAGCATACCTCCAAATTAAAATTGAAATGGAAATCTCTAGGGTTTTGAAGAACCTGTGAAATTAAAACATCAGGGAGGAGGGAGTTATATGTATCGATGAGGTTGTGATACATCAAATCGGTTTAATACATGAAATTGTTTTCGAAGACTGTGGAGAAGAAAGCAAATCGAACATCTGTTCGAGGTGATACATCAAAACCACAAGGTTAACCTGTTCGAGGTGAGTCAAGGAAGAAAGCATATGTATTATACCTAAATTTGTTTGAGCGCATGTGAGATACTGAAATAAGAATGTGCAGAAGCCAGTAAGGGAGAAAGCACGTTTGAAAGCTTCCAATTAGGTTTTGGAGTTGTGGGTTTAAAAACCTTGCATAAAAAACTTGTACCTTATGCATAATATTTGGTAATTAAGAGTTTTTTGAATTTGATGCATAAAACTATTGTAACTTATGCTTAGTAACTTGTATTTAAGACTTTGTCTTAAATGGTTATATATGTAGTATAGATATATTGACGTATAAAATCATACAAGTTCAAAAGTTGTCTGCTTTTATTTTTAACGTTAATATAAAATCACATGTGATTCAATATTATATACATAATTTAATATTTACTAAATATAAGAATCTCTTCAACATTTCTCATAATTTTTTTTTGTCTTTTCGCATGATGCGGTGTTTATACACACACCTTTTGCTTGCTATTCTTTTGCAAACGCAAGGAGTCATAAATACCTCAATTGTTTATTTATTGTAGACATGATCTCCAATCATATCATTAATAAAACATCAAAATGATTTCATAATGTTAGGAAAAAAAAGATTTAAAAAAAACTCAAAGCTAAATTCTTAAATTTTATTTTTAGTGGACGTTAATAAATGAAAATATAGTTTATATAGATGCATGTTATTACAAAGTACCTCTTATATATATATATATATATATATATATATATTTAACGATTGGGTTTATGGAGATTCATATATTAAAATAACAGGTTAGGTTCCGATGAGAATGAA